TTGATTGATTGATTGATTGATTTATCTGGTTAGCTTTTTACTGCATTTAGCTTTTAGCTGGTGTTCTGCTTCTTTTATCTAGTTAGCTTTTTACTGCATTTAGCTTTTAGCTGGTGTTCTGCTTCTTTATCCAGTTAGCTTTTTACTGCATTTAGCTTTTAGCTGCTGTTCTGCTTCTTTTATCTAGTTAGCTTTTTACTGCATTTAGCTTTTAGCTGGTGTTCTGCTTCTTTATCTAGTTAGCTTTTTACTGCATTTAGCTTTTAGCTGCTGTTCTGCTTCTTTTAGCTTGATGGGTCCAGGTTCAGCGAAGTGTTCCTCAGTAAATGAGATGTTTGTTCAGTTAAAGCAGGATTGTGTGTCGTGTAGAGCACCACTCTCAGCTACTACCACTCTGACCTTCAGCTCAGTGTCTGATGAACTCAGCTCTCATCACTCTGTGCTGCTCAGGTTGGTTAGCGGTGGCGGCCATCTTGTTTCAGGTCACAGTGCTGATGGTTGTAGTGAAAGTCAGTCAGGACTTGTTTGTGTCTTTGTTGAATAAAAGTTTTTAAGACCTGTATCTGGTCCTCTGTGGGGTGCAGGTCCCTGAGCCCACAGACCAGGACTTCCTTCAGTCCAACACCTGGAAGGAGGAGCTGACTCAGGCTGCAGCTGCAGCTGCAGGGACTGCAGAGCCCAGCGAGCGGACCCCCTCCCTCTCGGAGCTGTTYGAGGGCCGGCTGCAGGAACACCAGTACTGCATCCCGGGTCCGGCTCCGGACTCCAGAGCGACCCAGGTGGTGACGGCCAGCAGGATGACGTATGTCCAGACCAACTTCGTCACCTACAGCCATATAGCCAGGTAGGAGCAGCTGATCCGGCCCGTCTGATGGGCCCGGTTCTGACCCGGTTATTATAGTTCACTAAAACTAACTCAAGCATGAAAACTGAAATGAAAAAACATTTTAGTTAAATAAAATAATAAAAACTAATAAAATGAAAAAACAATAACTAAATCTGTATAACCTTTTCATAAAACTAACTGAAAAAACAGAATMTCTTTAGTTTTAGTGTCAGTTTATTTTGAGCTGTGTGAACTGATTAAACTTTTCTTTTTTCTTCAAATGAAGTAGCTTCACATTAGCTGTGAGCAGCTAACAGCTCCTCCATAACCTCACCTGTTTACTGTTTACTGTTTACTGTTTACAGTTTACAGCTGCTCAGCATCGTCTGCAAAATAACAACAACAGTTTGGAGAAAGTAAAGTCTGATTTGACATTTCTTTAATGTGACTGTGAGAAAACTGTCTTGTAGTGGAAACAGGTGACAGAACAGGTGGAATAGACTAATTAACCGAGTGTGTTAACAAGCAGCTTCTGTTAGTTAGTCCTGTGTAAAAACAAAAACAAGCCGTAGCACCAGGATGTAAACAGGATGTAAACAACTACTGTCACCTTACAATAATCACCCACGACCTGCTGGAAAACTGAGTTACAGGATTATTTTAGGAAGATGTTATAACATATGATCAAACAGCTGCTGGTTAGTTCTGGTCAGTTAACTAGTTTTTATTAACTAAACTTAACAAAAACTAAGCATTAAAAATGTAATAACTAATAAAAACTAATTAAAACTGAATAAAAAGAAAAAAAGTCACAACAAAATAAAACTAAACCAAAACTAAGCATTAAAAATGTAATAATAACTAAGAAAAACTAATTAAAACTGAATAAAAAGAAAAAAAGTCACAACAAAATAAAACTAAACCAAAACTA